AGTGGTCACAGTGATAAGCAAGACAGAGAGGGCAGAGAGCATCGTTCATATAGTCAAGGAACTTGTGAGCGTCGGTGTGGAGCTTGCATTGAACGAAGAAGCTCGCCGAGAGCAGAGGCCATAGCCATGGCGGCCATCAGCTATCGTTCTCTCCTCCTCCTCCCTGAAGGCGGGTAGAAGGAAGACGCGATGTTGATAGGGATTTTTAACGGGGTTAGTAACAAAGTGGTAGAATAGATGAAAAAGGGGTTTTAAGTGGTATATAAGTAAATACAAAAGTTTAGGTGTTGGATATGTATTTACAATAGTTTCAAGTGTTACGTATGTAAAAATCCCTATTTAAAAACATGAGGAAGGAGCATCTTTCTTGGGTAATGGGATGAAAGGAGTTATAATAATTATGTTTATTGAACAAGGTGGTGAACAAAAGGGTATTACAAATGACATAATGATAGTGATGAAAATTAACTCTTTGGAGAAGGTTGTGGACACACTAGCGAAGGGTCCAGATAAAAGCAATACCGACATAATAATGCTACATATGCAAGCTCAAGAAGTGGAGCTCTTTAGTGTAGCAACACATGGCATAAAGTATGTGGCTAATCTAATTAGTATCATTGAGATGGGGTTTTGTGAAGGAGTAGGTGGACAGGTTGCCGAGGGTGAAAAATCTTCATACAAAGAAATTAATATTGAAGATCTCATTGAGGATGATGTCACAAAAACTAGAGTATAAGTTGGTAATGCATTAGAGGTGCTCATCAAAACTAATAGAGCTTGGGGATTTTAAGTGAGATCGCATAAAGGTGATGTGAAGGGAAGTAGTAATGATTATAACTTTGTAGTTAAAGATCATGGCGAAGCAATTATGTATGTAATTGAGTAGCCTATCGATGACACCTTGAAGGAGACCACCACATGCTCAAAATTATATCAAGGAAAACTCAGAATGTCAATGAGTGCGTAAAGGATCAAATAGAGTTCCAAGATGAGGTGTTAAGTTGGATGACCAACAAAGTGTGCCAAGCTATAAATTTAAATGTATATCTTATAAGGTTTTTGATGTATATATATGCAAAATATTTTTTCTATAGATATAGGCATTGGTGTGTAGTATTACAAAACTCATTTGCATCCAATAGTTTTATTTTTAAGGATGTATATTTTTAGTTACTTAGATATAAATGTCATATGAGTGACATGATCATTTTTGTTACACAATGCTTAAATATATAATAAAATTATTATTACAAACATTACCAAATGACATGCTTTGCAATGTCTTGGGCATTCATGATTGCTTAAAAAAATTTGCAATGTTGACTTAAATTTTAAGAATTAAAATAAAAAATCAATTTCTAAAAATATTTATGCACTCAACCAAATTTTATGTAACCTTAAAATCAAACTTGTCCAATTGTTTTCGAAATGAGAAGATAAAGTTGATGAAAAATTAAGTTAGATGTTGTACCGGCCTCCACAAAAAAGTCTAATTATGTGGAGCATATATGTGTGGCTTATTAGTATAAGCCTAACTAATGCATATCATAAACAAGACTTATATACCAAGCATGTAAACAAGTTGCATAATGTTATTCATACATTTCCATTGTTACTAGCATATGCATGCACTAAATAATCTCTCTCCATTGTTACTAGCATATGGAGTTATAATCAGGCATCAAGATATGTGCATAATGCTAAGTATTTACATATTTTGAAAATTCTATGAAATAAGTACAATTGGTTTTGTAAACATCCATTGATAATTTTAAAATTTCTATGTATACTCTGATGAATTAAGAATGTTTAAGTGCAAGTAATACTCTGAAAGAAAATATATTTTAATATCACTAACACAACCTTGAAGTTTATCTATGAAAATATAATTAATGATTTTGAATCAATTACATTCTTAAAATTCTAAGAATTTCTCTTTTTTGTTAGAAATTAGTATATACTTTTAATATCAACCTAACATTTGAATAAATTATTTTTAATATTTTAATGGGTATTGATATCTATGATGTCAATGTGAAAGAAGTCTACTAAGCTCACTATGCTCACCGAGTGGATTTTCTAATATTCAGGAAAAGAAAAGGGCCCAATTGAGTAGAGTTGATAAGGGCGAGATAAATTGAACTCATACTTCTAAGGTGTTTTTGCAATCCAATGTTTTTTTTTAATATATATATGTAGATTTCACATAAGCTCGATTATTATATATAAAATTTTGAGAAATGAAATCAACTGGTGTTTAGACAATTATTATTATTTTGGATTCTATAATTAGCTCTAGCTACTTTGAATTGTAAGGGTTATGATTTACATGAAACTAACAAATTAGTGAGGTCCCTTTGATTGTTTATGCCATTGAGACTAGGAGTAATAATTTAAGATAGGAATAACACATCAATGAAACTATTATGTAAGATAGGAGTAATAATTTATGATATGAATATCACATTGATAAAACTATTATGTATGGTACCTCCAATTTAATGGTTACTTATATAATATATACAATCATGCATCAATTGCAGCTTAAGACAATGTGGAGTGAGTGGTTATAACAGGGTTGATTACTTATATACTATATATGTCATTATAAGAACATTGTAATTGCTTTGATTAATGAAATGATCAAAGTAATGTTGTTGATTGGTTATAAAATGATGTAATGCTTGTAAATTTGATGTTACATTGTCTATATTAAATTTCAAATGTTTGAAACAATTGATTTATTATACTTAATAAGCAAGTTTTGATTCTTTGTTTGAACCATAGGTCAAATTAATTTTGAACCTTATCTAATCAATATTCAAATTTGTTTCAACCACAAGTTCAAACCAGATTTGAGCTTGAAGTTCATGCCAGATTTGAATTTCTATTGTACAATTATTGGCTAATTCAAGCCAAATTTATATTTTGAGTTTCAAATAAATAGCCAATGGTAAAAACAGGGCATTTTAGTCTAAAATTAATATTTGGAAATTTTTAAAAAACAATTATATTTAACCAAATATAGATATTATATGACATATAAAGTTCAATTTCAATTTATTTAGGAAATTTTTTAAAATTAAGTATCGTCATAATTATCTTCAAGCGATTAACCAACGTTTTAAAATAAATTTAAACTCGCCAAAGTCGCCCTTTTAACGGGCGACTTACATTCACGTAAGTTGCCTGTTAAATGGGCGACTTATCCTATTTCCTTTAGCCGTCCTGCATACCCATTTCGTGCCCTAAAATTGCAAACGAAGACGCAGAGGATACATGAAAACGAAATCTTCGGGTATGCTTGTTTGTAATTTTATTTTATTTTTTGTTAAATTGCTTTCCTTTAGTAGCCTTCGGTCATTCTTCATTTGAATGTATTATGTTGAAAGATTATGTTTCTTTAGTGATAATACTTAAGATTTGTGTGTGAAATGTGTTTTTTTATTGTGAAAGCATGAAGAATATTTTGATTTGTGGAAAATATTTTTTTGTTCCTACGATTTGTTCAGGTAAATGTAGAAAGATATTATTTTGAGAGATATAATGTGTTTAAGGTATAGTTTTTACCTCAATGTGGAAGGATGAATAGACTCTTAGCAAGTTTGAGCGATAATAAGGAATGTTCAATTCAAAATTTTTTTTTTAAATATTTAATTAAAAAAAAATTATGATAAATACTAGATTGAAGCTAAATTTTCTAAGGCAGTTTATTAGAAAGTGTAATACTTAGACTTTATGAAGGGTAACATACATTTATATTTAATATTAAAAATATATATTTCAATCATAATTTTAAATATACCTTTTAAAAGAAAATAATTTTTTAAAATAATATTTTGAAGAAAATGTGAAGCTTTTATAATATAAACGATCAAAGATGGGAGAATGTGACATCACATATCAATATAAATTGATTTGACCATACAACTTTGCAGGATTTGACTTGACAATACAATCTAGGAAAAACTACATCAACTAGTATTCATACAACAAAAATGTGTTTTTTTAACTCACAAGGGTAAGTCGTTCGTTTAATGGGCGACTTACTGGAAGTAGATTTTCCTGTTGCTTAGCATATAATGGCTAACTGAGTCAGCATAGGGCGACTTACTGGCAGTAGATCTTCCGTTGCTCGTACGCTTGTCCAACATATAATAGCTAGCTGAGTTAGCACAGGTAAGTCGCCCTTTTAATGGGCTACTTACTTCAAATAAAAAGCCGTCAATGAAACGGGCGACTTAGACGAGTTTAATTTTTTTTCGTTGGTTAAGTAGGATGCCATAGATAATAGATTAATTATCAAATATTCTAAGTATCAAAGTACTTATTTAGTTGTTAATTAAATAAGTATTTAGTATCGAATTAATTAGTTCATTATTTTTTGAAATAACTAATTATTTAACTAATACTCATACTACAAAATTTATTAATTATTTAATTAATTTTATTTATATTTAAATTAAGCTAATTATATTAACTTTTAATTACTAACTATAAAATTATTATTTAATTAAGCTAGTTTAAATTATTTATTTATATTACTAATTATTTAATTATTCTAATTAATTATTAATATTTTAAATTATATTAATTAAGCTAAATTAGATTTATTTCTAATTTGAATGGCAGGATGTTTAGGGTTGAGTTTTAAACATATTAATTTCAAATTTAATTATCATCAATAAATTATAATTACAAAAATAATATTTTTAAAAATAATTTAATTATAAAATTACTTATTAATTTTAATTATATTTTTAATTATTTAGAATTTATTATAAATTATTAATTTTAATTATCATTAATAAATAATAACTAATCATTTAAAATAATATAATTAAAATTAAATTAACCATGATTGATCAACTAATCATAAGTCATAACTCCTCTGTTTGTTGTAGACCTATTTCTAGGGTTTGCTTTCCCTCTTCTCCAAACGTCCGTACCTGTTCGGCTTCGAATGCTTCGCGCTTGAGGTAATGTTTTGAACTAGTCTTTTCGCCTCCTTCGACGACTTTCCTTACTGTCGGGTCAGACGACGAGAGGGAGCTCGCTGGTTGCAAAGTAACCATTTTCTCTCATTCGCGCTTCTTCGGCTAAAACCCCGTAAATCAGCCAAACACCCGGACTTAGTCCTCCTTTGGTTCGGCGTAATTACGCCTTCCCCGTTTTGAATCGGGGAAAACAGTTGCAGTTTTAGGTTTGTTTAGACAGTTTTTGTAAAAATCATTTTTCTAAACCTCCGTTTATTTGCCGATTTGAAATGAGATAAATTAACGCTTATTCCTTCCTAATACCCGAGTTCCGAAACAAAAAAAGTAGACTTTGCCCTCACCACGTTCGCACGTCCCCGAGCAGCCTTTACTTTCGCCTCCTCCAGAACGAATTTTTCCTTGTCATTTCTCCATTCCCTCCATCATTTCGGATGCTATTCTCTCATTCCAACTTCAATCCTGCTCCATTGCAAGATTTTCGGCCTGCGACTTCTTCTATTCTCGGCAGTGAGGAGGTACGTTTTAGCTAACCTAGATTGGATCGATCATCGCCTCCCTTTTGTTTCATATTCTCATTCTACAATTACCTGCTCTTAAACATCTCAAAACTGCTCTTAAAAGCTTCTACCGGTCAGATAGCAGAGTGTGCAATTGGGAGTTGCAGAGCTAGTGATGATTCGTGCAACAGAGGAAGGTAAGTATTATTCTATTTGCTTTCAAATTTTTGTATGATGCATATTTTGTGGTGTTGAATTTATGTTTTCCGGGGAACTGGATGAATCTCGAAATAGGGAGAAGAGAAAAATGAATTACGTCAGCATGGATGAATCATGGCTGCAAATTCAAAGTGAAATATCGACCTAGAGACGGAAATACTGCAGTCGCCTATTGTTTGCGGAAGACCTCAGAGATTAGTGATGCGGAAGGTTTATTGGAGTTTGGACTCGAGCAGTGGCCTCGTTAAAGTCCGGATATACTTAATTTAAATAAGAGGGTAGGGCTTTCTTGCGCTTTGGTGGTCGACTAGGTTTCCGGTGAGTAATGATGTCACCGTTATTTTAAACCTATTCTCTATATTTTTTTATGGATGCTTTAGGATGTAAAAGGCTATATATTAAAATTTCAATGATGTGAACCTCTTTTTGAACATTTTATGATATAAGAAACATTGAGAAGTTCAAATGCCATTTGAAATAACGCTTGGAGATCATAAATGAATTACGAAATGGGCTGATTTTTAATAATTGATTAACCTAGCTTTGAAGTCAACGGGAGGAAATGTAACTTGAAAATGTATTTTCATATTATATGACATTTATAATAAAAAAGTAAGTATCAATCAGTGATTGTGGCATACGAATGTAGAGTAATGCTTGTGGCATTGAAATTATATATATATATTGGAATAATTTCAATGATTCATCAACTTAATTATTATGTGATTGTGGCATGCTCACATTATAAAGTATGATATGCTAATTTGCCAAGTTACAATTGAACTTGGGATATTCGTATAGTACGATCAATGTAGAGTAAATATTTAGGATGTTAAGGAGTGCAAGTACACAAACAACACCTGAAATCTTGCTACAATTATGCGAGGGCTAGATAGGTGTGCAACAGACATGGGTGAGGGTGGTCAGAGTAGAGAAATAGGTAGGGGCAAGCGATAAGGGCGGCGCGAATGGGTGCGATAGGCAAAAGAAAGGAGGATGGGGTAACGAGAGAGGGTGATGATGAGAGAAGACATGAGTGACTAGGGCGACATGCACGTGGGATGGTGGGCGTAGTGTTGGATTTGGAAAATTTTTAATTCTAGAAACATATAAATGTAAGGAAAATAAAAGTTTTGGGGTATTTTAAAACTACAAAATTTATTTTGTATTTCTTTTACTTCAAACCAAACATAAACATGTTAAAATGCAAGATATTGAATGCAATACACTTTTAACGCTTTGACCAACGACCCCCTATGTAAAAACCAAATTCTTGTTAAAGTAAGCATCAATATGCATGCAATACTAGTTGCAAGGTAATAAAAAATTTCTGAGAAGGATGCCAACTCATGGATGTACACTAAATGTAATTTATTGCATTATATTCATTTTATATTTCAATAGGTCTTGTTATGAATTTTATAGTTTGTGATATTGTGTAAAGTAATGATATTATTTTGAAAGATGCAAAATTAATGCCTTAAATCTATTACCCAAACTTTTCTTCAAGCATGTTAATTTTTTTATAAGAAGCTCATCATATGTAATAAAATAAATAAGAAAATATTGAAGTGATGTTATGCTAGTGATGGTATTTGAAGTATCAAATGGCCCAAGGTTTAAAATTTTTCAATTGAGTATTGAGGCATTTTTTATTTGTGAGGCAAGGCGTAAGCCTCAAGGTGTTTTAAGACGTAAGCCTTATTTTCTTTAAAGGTATCAGCCACTAGGGTATCAGGAATAAGTTTAGCAAATAAAAGGTGACAATAAATTAGGTAAGACCTAGTTTTATGGGAAGCCATCAATTCATATGAAAGGAGAAACTTTGAAAAATGAGAACATGCAACCTGTAAAGGCAAGAATTTTTACTATGACACCTTAAGTGCCTAAGGAATCAGAAGTGGTTATAGGTACACTTTTGATTTTTAGTAAATTTGATTCAATTCTGTTTGATTTTGAAGCTTCACATTCATTTATTTCATGAATTTGCTTTTAGTCTATTAGTTGAAATTGTCTTATAACTATATATTATAATGCCATGCCACACCTAATTTTTACACCCGCCCTGTCAACTTAAGATGTAACAAAGATGAAAAAATCAGATATATACCTCTTACTAATACCCATCTTGACGTATGTTGATTGAGATCAAGTGAGTAGAAAATTAATCTGCTCAGACTATCTAACCCAAATATATTCCAAACATAGTATTATACCTCATGATTTCATGTTCAAAAGCATGCATAATATACATCAAAATGAAATACAGAGTTTTACTAAAAACTTTGAATAAAATTTTTCATACCAGACACTTTAATTTACAGCTTACTGATCAGTCTTCTATCTACAATCAAAATTTTACACCCAAAATTACTAGGTACACAAGGCAGTAAATCTCCTACCTGAAGCTTTATTAGCTCTTTTTTATTTCTTGCAATACATCAACTAATGAGCTAAATGCTCAATAAAATATACAAGCCCACTATAAGATTTATCATACAAAAACAAGGAGTAATTAACATGCATGTTGATATTTCGAATTAATACAAGAGTCATAAGTGATACACATGTGTAATTTGAAAATAATAAATAAATCATATATCATTTTAGTAAATGATCAATGCATAAAATTGTGCAATATACTATTTGAAATATTTCAATCTTCTCCTATTTCTCTTATCTTATTCATGTACACTATTTTAGAAAAGTCATATGATGGTTATAGGCTTTAGTAGGGGTGTAAGTGAGTCAAGCCGACTAGTGAACCAGCTCGGGCTTGGCTCGATAAATGGCTGGTGAGCCGAGCTCGATGAGTAATCATTCAAGCTTGAGCTAGCCCTGACTTGACTCGTAAGCTCGTGAGCCGGTTCGTTTAGAAAATATTAATATAAAATATTTTAGAATTCAAGATTTTAAATATAAAGTTGTTAAAAATATTTAAAATTTATATCACAATTTCTTATATTAAGTAATTCTTTATTATTTTTCTTATAATTTCTCATTTTTTTTATCATTTTATTATAATAATTGCTTAAATCATAATTATTTTTTCTCTTTTATAATAAATGAGCTCGCTCGTGAGCCGGCATAAACTCGTAGAATAAAGCTCAAGCTCGTACTCGATTAATTAATCAAGCTCAAGCTCAAGTCAGGAGTGACTCGAGCTCGAATCGACTCGTTTACACCCATAGGCTTTAGCATGTTCATAATAGGTCGTCACCTAGCCTATCGACTAACCATTTATTTATGACCATGGTTTAAAATTGTGCAACAAGAGGCGCGCCTCAGCGCAATTTTAAACTTTAAAGCCTCAAAGCCTACGCAATAAAAGCTGACATTGAGGCGTACGCCTCAAGTTCACTGACGCTCCTCGCCTCATGTTTTAGAGGCGTCCGCCTCTTAAAATAAAAAAAACCCTAACCTAATATATATCTATTCGGTTCGCCCCCCACCCTATCTTTGGTCATTTCCGAATCGAAACTAGGTTTCTTCTCCCTTCTTCTTCGAGCGACATTTTCCCCTCTTCTTGAGTTCCTTCCATTCGACCAGCGTCGGCTTCCTTCCACCGTGTGTTACTTTTTGCCTACTGCTTGGAGTTCTCTTCTACCGCGAGTTTGGCTGGAGTCTGTTTCGACCGACCGCTGAAAGCTCTTCTTCTTCATAGTTTCATCTATCACCTTATTGTGAAATACAAGATTGGTCCATTCTGCCATAAGGACATCCATATTCTGCTGAGTAAGATTCCACGATCGGTCTGTCTTCTCGGTATCGCTCGGTATCGCTAGGTACATGCTTGGTACTGCTCGGTACCACTCGGTACAACAATGCTCGGTACCATTAGGTATATGCACGGTACCGCTAGGTACATGGTCGGTACCGCTCGATACATGCTCAGTACCGCTAGGTGCATGCTCGGGGTCAAGGACTTACGAACTTTGAAAATAAGCAGAACATTAATATTACTCTTACAATCAAAATTTGCATACAAACCCCCACAAGGGTGTTACCCCTTGACCCCGCACCCCGCCAAGGGGTAGTGCCCCTTTGGACTTCCGGCTGATGGCATATCATTGTATTCATCATCTTAGTAATAGTTGTTAGTGGTAATCTGCTTTTTCATGAGTGCATGATTTGTATAAATTTTCTTAATGTAGAATAAGTGAAGCATTATGTTTAGGGGTTTGATATATTACACTAAGCCACTAATATATTCTTCTCATAAATGATGGTCAGAAGTAAGGATAAAGTTGAATCATATCATAGAAAAGATACAACATGAAAACATAACACTTAGGTGGATGTAGGAGGAAGTGATAAAATATATATCTATCTGAAATACAGTTACTGTGACAAAGTTGTGAAGGATGGTGTGACTAGGATGAAGGATCACCTTTCAAGGTCTCACAAGAATGTTGCTCCATGCTTCAAAGTTCCTGATACTATAAGGGAGGAGATAAAGTCATACATAAATAAGTCTACAACGTCAAAATAACTTGCACAAAAGCAATTTGAGGATAAAGTGGATGTTGGCTCTTACTACGGGAGTGGGCGCAGCGTTAGGAATTCATCTTCTTCGATGAAGCCCATTTCATCTAAGTGTGTTAGAGCGCATATGGATCATTATATGGTGGACTTATTAGAGGATAGGCCTCCTATCACACAGAAGATGACCCCAAAAAATGCAAGCGAGGCACGAAGATGAGTGTGTAAGGATATAGATAGATTTTTTTACAAAAATGCAATTTCATTTAATGTTGCAACATCACCTGCCTATTACAATATGATTCGTTCAGTTGGAGACATGAATACTGAAGGAGTTTAAAAGCACTGATAAAAGTATTGAAGAAATTAAGGGGACTTGGGCCCAAACAAGAGTAACAATTAGGTCAGATGGGTGGTCTGATATCGAATATAGAAGTCTGATCAAAACCCCCATTAATAATCCTTTTGGTATTGTGGTTTTAAGTCAGTTGAAGCATCTGACCAGGTCAAAGATACTGAGTTCATATTTGGATTATTAGAACATTTAGTTGTATAAGTTGTGATAGATAATACAAGTGTTTACAAGGCTGCAAGTAAAAAAATTATGGAGAAGAAGAAACATCTGTACTGGACTCCTTTGATGCACATTGCATAAATCTGATTTTTGAGAAGCTTGGGGAGTTACCTCAACATAAGAATGCACTTTACTAAAATAAAAAAAATAACAAAGTTTATTTACAACCACTCTTGGGTTCTAGCTCTTATGATAAAATTTTTAAAGAAAAAATTCTAAAACCAGCAACAATAAAATTTGCCATCACTTACTTGACCTTAGA